GGTTTTTTTTTTTTTTTTTTTGGTATGTGTGTATGGTGCTGGGGATTGAATCCAGAGCTTTGTGCATGCAAGGCAAGGACTCTACCAACTAAGCTATATCCCCAACCCGGTACTTAATTTTGCTGGGTATAGTATTTGTGGCTGGCCTCCATTCTCTTTCAGAGTTTGGTATTTATTATTCTAATACCTCCCAGCTTAGAGGGTCTAGGTTTAGAAATTGGCTGAGATCTGGTTTGGATTCCTTCTAAATGTTACCAGTTGCTTTTCTCTGGCAGCCTTTAAAATTCTGTCTTATTCTGTATGTTAAGTATATTTGTAATAATGTGCCTTGATGTGGCTCTGTTGTAATTTTGTATATTTGGGGTCCTGTAAGCCTCTTATCTTTGGTTTTCCATTTTGGGAAATTTTCTGATATTATTTCATTGAAAAGATTGCATATTCCTTTGGTTTATATCTCTGAGCCTTCATTTATCCTAATAAATTTTAAGTTTAGCCTTTTTGTGTTATACCATATTTGTTGGAACTTCTCTTCATGGTCTCTTAACATCTTTCTCCAGGGTCAACTTTATTTTCTAGATTATATACTTTGTCTTCATTGCCTGAAACTCTGTCTTCCAAATGGTCTAGTCTATTAGTGATGCTTTCAATTAAATTTTTAATTTGTTTTAGTGATTTCTTTATTTTGAGGATTTCTGATTCTTCTTCAAGATCTCTATCTCCTTGTTGAAATGTTCTTTGATTCTTGTTTTTCTCTCTGATTTTATTTCTTATGTCACCTTTTACTTTGTAGATCAGTTTAATCACAAACTTTCTGAATTTTATCTCTGACATTTTCTCCTCTATGGTGTCATTGGAGTCTACTGTTGAGGTATTCTGGGTTGTTTGTTTCCTTGCTTTTTCATGATTTTTGTGTCTGCATGTTTATCTAGATGGATCTGATGCTGTAGAGTTTATACCTTATGGGTTTAAAATGTCACTCTATGTTACTAGTACTTCACAGATCGGGGCAGGGGAGCCCAATGATAGCAACAATGGATGCAAATAATATATAGCAGTAGCCTAGATCCTTTTTTCTTATTTTCATACCAGTATAATTGGTACAATACATAGGGGCAGTGGGATCAGAATTTTCCATCAGTAAAAACAGTACATTATCATGTATTATGTGTGGCTTAAAATCAAATAATAAGTGTTGTGTATGCTTTCCACTGTATTAATTATTGATGTGACATTGGTGGTAGGTGTAGATGTTATACACTTCAATTAGTATTAAGAAGTATTAAGGATAGAGTTGAGTATGTGTGAAGAAGAAGAGATAGGAGGGTAGAAAAGTGTTTGCAATGTCAAAGGGTGAATAGGGCAGATGCAGTGGTAACTTAGGATATGTTTGTTAGTTTGAAAGGGGATGAAAAATAGAATATAAAGGAGGAGAAAGAGAATGGAATTTGGGTGTCAGGAATAGAGAAATGAGAGAGGAAAACAAGGGAGACAGAGCAGTGATAAAGATGATACAAAACAAAATCAAAGTAAGCTAATCATAAGCCCTAACCCTCAAAATACAGAGCATGGGAAAATAACACCTTGAAAAAACTCAAAATAACAACAACAACAAAAAGAATGAAAGAAAGGAAAATAAAAGAAAGAAGAAAAAAGAAAAATAAGGATAGAGAAACAAATATGAATATGTGTAGGAGTCCTTGAATCAGTCAGTAGTCATTTAAATAAAACAAGAATCCAATATGGAACCCCCAAATCAAAAAGCAAAACAGAAATGCTGCCACAACAAACAAGCCACAACAACACAAAGAGAATTTTTGTGAAATGTCAATAAATTAAGGAGTCATATCCATTATGGTGGACAAAATAGTCAGTTTCTGTATGTGTTCACTGACTGTGCCCACCTGCTTTTCTTTTTACTTCTTCTTGAGGTGTGATCTAACCTTGCAAGTACGGGCCATGGATTGTGTCTCCTTCCTTTTATTGTGTTGCTGTGTTGAAGGTTTGAGTTTTAGACTTCCTAATTTACCTTCTTGGGAGATTTTCCTTCTTTGGGGGCAAGTTGAGGCCCAGTCACACAAGGGGCCCAGCTGTTTTATGCCAGGTGGATCGAGGCCAGGAACTGGGACCTGTGGGCTGGCTGCAAAGCTGAAAGCAGTGGGCCAAGTCAGGGGCCAGGGAGGGTTTGGGAAACTATGGAGTGGGGAGCCAAGGGCCCTGTTGGGTGCCAGACTGATACTGAACCTGGTGGGTCTCAGGGACTAGCTGGACTGGGGAGGGATTCAGGGACCAGGCTGGTGCTGGGACCTGGTGAGTGCTGGACCAGCTGGCTGGCTGAACCGAAAGCAAAATGTCCTCTTCCAGCTTCCCTCTTCTCTTCCAGCTTCCCTCTTCTCTTCCAGCTTCCTACCCACGTAAATGGACCCATCAGTCCCCATGAACCTCAGGACTTGAGAAGTTGGGGAGAGCCCAGCTCTCTCCAGCCCCTCTAAACTGGTTTCCCTGGGTGAAATGCTTCCAGTTTCTGACTTTCCACAGGTTTGCTAGGCTCAAAGAGGCCCCCACAGACCTAGCTGCAAACTCACATATCTGTTTTTGTAGGTTCTACCACATGGAATTCCCAAGATGGCTCCTGAATCAGCTTTAAATGGAGGATTGATAAACTGTGGTGGAGAGTTTTTTTTCTTTTCTTTTTTTTAAATATCTGATTAATGAGTCAAACAGTCTCTGGTTTGGCTAGGGCAGACTGACGCTCCAGTCTCAGGACTTTTCACTCCTCTGAGCCTTGGGGAGATGTAATATTCTTGCTGTTTGAGTTCTGGGTAGCTAAGAGAAATGCTGTCTCATGCTAATATGCCACCTTGCCCCTCTGGTTTAAATGATTTTTTTTTTTAAGAGAGAGAGAGAGAGAGAATTTTGATATTTAATTTTTAGTTTTTGGCGGACACAACATCTTTATTTATATGTGGTGCTGAGGATCGAACCCAGGCCGCACGAATGCCAGGCGAGCGCGCTACCACTTGAGCCACATCCCCAGCCCTTAAATGAATATTAACATCTAATTAAAGATTCAAGTAAAGGATGACTAATGTAATCTTATTTTACTCAGTTCTTTGGAATTAGTTGACACTTCCTTTGTGGCTCAGTACTGTGGTAAGTCTTGTGAATGCTAAAAGTGTATACTTGAAAAGATACTAATTTTCCAGATGTTAACAAGCAAGTCTTTCCTAGGACTCTAACTGTTGAACAGTTTGTTTTATGAATGAGAGAGGAGAGTTGGAAAACTCTTTTATGGGAAAGAGGGAGAAAACTGCTTGTAGTGGACAGAAACATGAATAACCCTCAATGATTTAACCCCTAGAAACCTTGAATATCATCTAACATGACAAAAGAATGAGTATTGTATTATATGGCAAAAGATGTGATTAAGAATCTTAAGAGGAGCTTATCCTAGACTATCCATATTTTAATGCAATCACTGCTATGTGCAATTATCTTTTACCCTACTTTGTCATTTGTCTTTTAAATTCATAAAATGTACTTTTTAGCCACTTAAAAATCCTTTCTTTGGTGGCTTCTGGATTTTGAGACTGAATTTTAAATGCTTTTGTACTCTAAGGAAACAAAGGACATTGTGTTTCTTTGAATATATATTTAAAAATATTTTTATTTGTAGATAGACACCTTTATTTTTATGTGGTGCTGAGGTTCAAACCCAGTGCCTCACCCATGCAAGGCAAGCTCTCCACCACTTGAGCTACAACCCCAGCCCTTCAATTATTTTTATGTTTTAATTTTTTTTTGCATTTAAATTCTTTGATCCTTGTAGAGTTTATCCTGGTAAATAATGTGAACCATGGTTCCAACTTCATCTTAATCTAGATGGCTGGGTAATTTCCCCAATAATATTCATTAAAGAATCTATTCTTGCCTCCAGGCTTATGATGTATTAAATGCTCAAAGAATACAGTTCTATTTCTGGTCTTTCTACACTGAGGCAGTACCAAAATATTTTAATTATTGTAGTCTTATGACATATTTTAATTGTTAGGGGGATATTTCTCCTTTATTGCTGTTGCTTTTCAATATTTTTTCTAGCTAGTTCTGTTTATTTTTCCATGTGAAGCTTAAAATCCACTTGCCTAAAAACAAATTTAAAGACCCTTTTCTTATTTTAATCAGGTAGCATTTTCCTTCATAAATTAACATTTAGAGTATTTAAATATTTATGATGTTTTTTTCAGATGTTATATTACTAGAAATGTGTTGTATTATTCAGTCATTTATGTTTTTACTTCTGCCCTTTAGTCACATTATAAAGTTTTCCTCATACAGGTTTTATACATTTCTCATATTGGTGCAATGGTCCATTGGTATCTGTTCCAGAACCCCTGAAGATACCAAATTCCATGAATCCTCAAGTGCCTTATAGAAAATGGCATAGTATTTGCATATAACCTTTATACATCCTTCCATATACTTTAAATCGTGTTTAATTCCTTGTAACACTTAATACACTGTAAATGTTACATTAAGTCGTTGTTATACTATAATATTTAGAGGATAATGACATGAAAAAAAACTATGTATTTTCTGTACAGATGTAATTTTCCTTTTCAGATATTTTAAAATCTGCTATTGATTGAATTCCTGGACACAGAAGTCATGGATACAGAGGGCTGATTATATGTTCACATAAGTTTTCTATTTCTCATTAAGTTATTGCTCTTCTAAATGGGGTCTTTCATTTCCCTATATATTTTATTATGTAAATGTAAAGTACATTTTTAAAAAGAATGTATTCTATTGGGGAAAGATACTCAGCAATTTTTGCATATTTTACTTCCTCTTCTTTCATCTTCTTAAATAACCTCTACCACGTTTTACTGTGACTTTCTGGCTGTTCCCTGTTTTAACTTATCATTACTTAAAATTCTACAAAATATTTCCCCATAGGTATATAACTCCCTTTGACTTAACATTAAATTCAAATTTCAACTGACCATTTAAACTCTTCTTTCTTCTTTTTAGCCATTATTAAAACTCTCTTCAGAGACCTCAGGCCAAAATCATAATGATCCTATCAAACAGTAAAATATTTGAGTTATTAGAGGTTTTTGAAAAAATAGAACAATTTGAAAACAATTACATAAATCACTGATTATCTATTCTGTAAAGGGAAGCAGCAATATGATTCCAAGAAACCTTAATTCTACTTCCAATGCTCTCTTTTCTCTTGCAAACTGGTGCTCCTAAAAGTCCATTTCTTTTCTATTCCTCCCTCTCTCCATCCATCCCTCCTCCTTCTCATCCCTTCTTTCTCCCTCCCACTTCTCTCTCTCTCTCTCTCTCTCTCTCTCTCTCTCTCTCTCTCTCGCTAACCCTTCCTCCTCCCTCCCTTCTTTCTTTCCTTTCATATCCTATCCTCTGGGGTCTTACTATTTTGCCCAGACTGGTCTCGAGTTTCTGGGTTCAAGCAATGCCCCTATTTTAGCCTCTTGAGTACCTGGGTCTACAGGCATGTGCCACCATGCCCAGCAAAAGTCTCTTTCTTAAAAGAAAGAATAACAAGTGTGAAAAACTATTCACATCTGAATTAAGTTTTCTCTGAACTGGAAAGAGGAATTGGAAGAATATTAAAAAGAGAAATGTGATTATCTGCCTAAGCCATCTTGGATTAGAAAAAAATACTCATATCCTAGAACAATAATTCTCAAAATGTGGTTCTCACAACAGCAATGTCAGTAACACTTGAGATGTTCTTGAAAATTCCTTTGTTTCATAGCAGACATATAAAATTAGAAACTTGGGGTTTAGGCCTAGCACTTATGTTTTAACAAGTACTCCAATTATTTTGATGGATAATAAATTTTGAGAACACTGCTCTAGATATTAATTTTCTTATACAGAGACAGCAGTCTATAATTTGAGATAATAGTTGTTCCATCATTCTTTCCAGATATTGGAGAGCAGGCTTGGAATCTTGACTGATTTTGCATTTTGTATTTGATTTGATATGTTGATAGAAATCTGAGCTCTACTTATGTGGTATGGTCCCCAGGTCATTCCTCAGCCAATACCAGTAAAGTCTTATTTAAAGTTATTTGTATATAATGACCTTTAAAGAAAATAAGTTACTTACCTGTTGTGAGAGCTGTTTGCTAGCTAATTCATAAAGGCTAGCTAGCTTTCCAGAGATTGATTTTGCAGATTTGAAACCAAATGAAAACAGCATTATTTCAATAATCATTTGATAGTGGGGCACTATCATAGCCACTGGGCGAAACAGAGATTTTAAATTATCTGGGAGTTCTACTCGACCTCCAAAGCTTAAAAGGAAAAGAAAACAACAATAAGCCCCCCATTTTTCAACAGTTCAAATAAGGGGCCACATAAAATATATAACCCCCATTCTATTGGCTTTCTATGTGTCCTCTATCTCAAGATTAGTTTATAAGATTTTTTTGTTGTTGTTTTCTTTTTTTTTGTACTTGGGATTGAACCCAGGGGCACTCAACCACTGAGCCACATCCCCAGCCCTTTTGTATATTTTATTTAGAGACAGGGTCTCACTGAGTTGCTTAGGGCCCCCACTAAATTGTTGAGGCTGAGTTTTGAACTTTTCAATCCTCCTGCCTCAGTGCCCCGCCCTCCCCCAGCTGCTGGGATTACAGGCATGCATCACTGCTAAGATGGTTTTTATCGTACTTTCCATCTCACAGAGCAGCCTGGCTTGTTATCTTTTCTTTCTGTGCCCCATTCCACAATTCATATCAGCTCCCTCTGATTTCCTGAACTAAGGTAGTATTCAGATATTTAATGAACCTGCCCAACCTGACTCCCTATAACCACCAGGGAGAGGTCAGAGGGCAGTAGAGAGTTATGATATATATACAATGCCAGACAACTCCATCTGTGGGTAAGATTTAAGAAGAGGATTTTGGTCTATGTTCACTCCCACCACATTCACTGATACTTACACAGGATTCAGGGTGATAAAGACTGCACAAGACATACTGATACGAATTTCTTTTCCACCCAGTACAAATCTATAAGACATTATAGTATTCATAACTAAAACTGTTTTCTCTAGGATGAAATATGTTAAAACTACAAATGAATTTGGGAACTTTCTTATGGATATGTTACATTTAAATCCAAATAGAACATACTGAAATGAACAATAGTAAAAGAGGAGAAGTAAGAGGCTCGTTTGAGCCAAACTGTGACCCTTTGCTAGGGATTCAGATATATTTGATCATGTCTGAAGAAGTCTGAGGAGCTTTGTGGGATCTAAGGCTGGAAGTTACTCATCTGAATGAATAGACTTACACAGGGAAAGGAACCCAATGAGACCCATAAAGAATGAAGAGCTGTGCCTGGATAACAGAGTGGGACTCAGCATAGAGTCCCTACTTCAGCATGGAACATAGCCCACCTCCCAAGTGTCCCCTCTCCTCATTTTAAAACTTTCGAGCCATTGTGAAATAAAACCCTTGGTATTTACGTCAATTTGGAACCAGTGGTAGAGACAATGGAGAGAAATCCTGTAGTGATTTTTTTATAAAAATTTTATTTTTTGACAGTTGATACTAAAGAGAGTGGTCAAAACCTGCAAAAAAGAATAATTGGGACAAACCTGGGGAAACTTTGGACAAAAATGGGGGAAACTTGGCAGAGGCTGAGATAGAGAGAAGATGAGATGTGGGATGCTATGACACCCGCCCCATCCCCCCCATAAACTTGTGAGGCCTGATAACACCAGATTTAACAGTTTGAAGAAAATCCATGAGAATAAAACCACAAGTTAGTATCCATTAGCATGAGTTAGAAATGAAATAGAAATTTTAAGCCCACAAATCCATTTTTGTCTGTAAAGTAAATGGTGATTTCCTAATAAATATCTAAAGAGAAAATTTTTGCTTATATTACTAATCATTAGTAATTGATATATATATATATATCCAAATTGTTATTGCAGAGGTTTTCAATAAAAGCACCTTAATTCAGAGTAATGAGACAAGATGGGTGGGAGGCTTCAGGTATGTGACCAGTATGCCTTTCTAAAAAGGATGTAGAATTAAAGAAATAAATATTTATAACTTTTGTTTGGTTTCTTTAAATGACATATATCCCAAGATAAAAAAGCAATAAGAGAACTTAAGATTGAAAAACAAAGTAACTAGGATATATTTCCATCAGAGTCCTGGTAGCTCCAGAGACTGTTTCAGAGCAAGAGTTTGGATACCTCTAAGTTGGCCTGCAAATTAGAGTTATATATATTTTCACATTATTTGCCGAACAAAGGAAACATGCCAGGTACATGCCATTCCTTTTGATATGTGTTTTAAAGCAACTAACCAACTAACCAAATACCCAAACACTTACTGGACAAAAAACAAACAAACAAACAAAAAACCCCCCAAAAAACCACTTAACGTTAAAGAAACAATACAAGTATATCAATTTCCATTCAAAATATATATCTTATTTTCCATCCAATAACACATACCTGACAGAACAGCTGTCTTTTGCAGCCTTAATTGTTTGTATCTGTGAGGCAATGACGGAGACAACTTCCATATCAATTCTATTGAATTCATCGAAACAACACCAAACACCTGACTGAACTAGTCCAAAAAAGAATTTTTCCACTATCTTTAAAACGAAAAAGAAAAAGATTGATTACAGAAATTATTATGATGAAGAATTTTACTGGGGTATTAAGTTGCCTACGTTCTTCCCATCTTGCTTAAACCAATCAAATATCTTTCATATTTCCTCCCCACAGGCATTTTTGTGGTTGCTTAGATTTCAGATAAGCAACTACTTTACCTGTTTGTAAAAAGCTAAGCCTGAAGTAGCAAATTCTGAGGCTCACAGGGACCTGGCAGACAGGACATAGATGATGACTTCAGACTCCTCCCATTTGGCTCAACGAGCTGCACCCTTGCATAAAGAATCTTTAGGACAACATTCAGTATATGGTCAAAACTGCCTGACAGTAGGTGTCTCCTTTTCTAGAGCCGGCACAGACTCCTTAAGAGTTAGTGAATTGGGGCTGGGGATGTGGCTCAAGCGGTAACGCGCTCTCCTGGCATGCGCGGGTCGCTGGGTTCCATCCTCAGCACCACATAAAACTAAAATAAAGATGTTGTGTCCACTAAAAAATAAATATTAAAAAAATAATCTCTCTCTCTCTCTTTAAAAAAAAAAAGAGTTAGTGAATTGTTTTATGTGTGCTGCTGGTAGATAACACAGATGAATAAACCAGGTCTAGTATGAAACAAGAGGTAGATTCTGCGTTAGATTGGAGCCAGCCTCATGAAAGCTCACAGCAGGTGCTACTGGGCTTTGCCTGTTGTCAGGGGGCAGGACAGGGTTGGCCAGATGCTATGCTACAGTGTCCTGTGAGAGGCTAAAAGTCCTGAAACAAAATAGCAAAGCAAACAAAAACACTTTCAGGCAAAACTGAACAAATTCATGGGCTGAATACAGGATGCAAGATGCCTAAGATTTGCCAGGTATGTATAAAGGGAAGAAAAAGGGATTAAGAAAAGGCAAGAGAGAACCTCAGACCAGGAAGGAGACAAAAATTGGTTCCTCTCATGGGTAGCAGGAAATCCAATCTTGCCTTTATTCAAAATTTTGATATTTTGTTCATCATGGTTTTTTTTGGAGGGTGGGGGGCAATAATTAGCATGAAAAACAAGCTGCAGGGCTGGGAATATAGCTCCATGGTAGAGTGCTCAAGGACCTGGGTTCAATCCCCAGCACCGAAAATAAAAATAACCCCATCTTCCCTCTTTTAGCAGTGTTTGGAAACTGAGTTAAATTTGCAACAGACACAGAAGTATATTAAAATTTAATAACAAATACTTCAGGATCTTATTAGAGATGTCCTAGATAATTTGCAACCAAAACAAAGTAAGACAAACATAAACTTGCAATTATCATATATAAGTTCTAATTTTTTGTATTAATCATAATTACCTTATTGATCTTAATAATTAACTTTTGAATAAATAAATGTATAGGTAGGGCCTTAACAAATTAGCTTTCTTAATTGTTTTATATCTTCATGTTCCATATAAAATTTTGTTTAAAAAGAATCCCAATGTAAGGGAGCTGTGGCTCAGTGGCAGAGTGCTTGCCTTGCACACTGGGTTTAATCCTCAGTACCACATAAAAATGAATAAACAAAATAAAGATATTGTGTCCCGGGCTGGGATTGTGGCTCAGTGGTAGAGGGCTCGCCTAGCACATGGAAGGCCCTGGGTTTGATCCTCAGCACCACATAAAAATAAATAAATGAAGATATTGTGTCCAACTAAAAAATAAATATTTTAAAAAAAGATATTGTGTCCCTGAATAACCAAAAAATATTGAAACAAATAGAATCCCACTGTCAAAAAAATTTAAAAACCACTGTTTTAAGGAATTCAATTGAACTTAAAGCAAAGTGTATAATATTTTGTATCTATTACATCTAGATTTGTATTCTAATAGTTTAAAAGAATTAATGATATTTATAGTTCTATTAATACCTATATATCTATAAGATAAATATTTTTCTTGTTTTTTCATTTCTTAACAAATTGTTTTATGTGTAAAATTTTTTTTTTCCTGAGTATATATGTTTAAGCTTTACCTTATAATCCAAATCTTCAGAACAACTGCAGACTACACAATATTTACCTAGGGCCTGGAAAACAAAAATATTATTTTAATATATTTCTTAAAATATGACAAAAAATACTAATATTAAAAATGATAGAGTAACCAAATGTCTTTATTAAATTTTTGAGAAGATATTTGCAATATGAAAAGATGAATTAGATACCAAATTTAGCAATTCAAAAAACTCAAAATAGTACAAACATATACATACTGTTACATATAGTTGATTAATTCATGTATCATTGTCATGTTTTTACATAAATATACAAATAAAATGCTAGTGTCACAAACTATACCCTTTTCCTTCATCATTTACTACCCCCCCCCCACACAGACATACACATACACACACAAAAAAAAATATTAATCATTTATGTATCAGTCAGTTCCTATAGTAATTCTCCAAGTTAATACAAAGCATATGTTAGCTTATTGAGATCCCAAGTCCTCACACACAATTGGCATTCAAAAATTAATGAATTGTATGAACTAACAGATGTGATTGTTGAACACAGTGAACATGTGAGTAGTAGGAATGATGTAAATTTTAGATGCCATTAAAGTTAAGGCAACAATCAAAAATAGATGTTTTTATTCTGGATATAGAAACTACTTACTTTTGCCAGATCTTTGACAGTCTCAGTTTTTCCTACACTAGCTGGACCAGCAGTACAGCCTCCAAGATTCAAGTGTAGCGCTGCTGTGAGGGTTAGCCGGCATCGGTCTGTGAGGGGTGTAATAACCAACCTTGGGGTACAGCCCAAGTATTCATAGCCATAAGTAAAACTGGCATCTCCTTGACACACGTAACACAACTTTTGCTTTTCATTCCATTTATACTGCAAATGTCTAAAAGCAATATTGTTAATAATACTCATACATTTGGGTAAAATTATTTTTATTTTTTTTCACATTCAGAAACATGATTAAAAATGGAGTATTCATTAAAAAATAGAAATCCAAATGTTAAATGAAAAGTGACATAAAATTTGACAATGACTATTAGATATGAAATATTAGGACTTGGAAGATGTGAGGATGGTCTTTGGCCATTTTAAAAACTCCAGTTTGAAACCTGCAGTCTCACCAGGCACACCTAACAGAGCCCTCCAGTATGGCCCTCAGGCACAAACAAGTCACTTCCCCCAACCCTGATAAACTCAGAGTGAAGCCTCTGGCAGGCTGTCTTCCAATAAGAGGAAAGGCAAAAAGATCAGGGTGGGGACCACCAGACCAGTTTTTTAACCCCAGGGTAAATGATGTCACTGAGAAATCCAGTGGTAGCTTATAAGGATTGAAACGGGGGTCAAAAGTCCCAAAATTTAGTATAATAATAGAGCAAATGAACAGACATTCAGCCAGCCAATACTGAGGCTCACAAGCTGGAGAGCCTGATGAGGACCTGGACTGACCTCCTTTTGCCTGATCCTCTGCTTGGTCCTAAACGCTCTCAAACTCCACAGCCACATCTTGACCCTGGTGAGAGGTGCAACTTCTCCCTACGTCCCTCTCCTCAACTGGCCATCAGCTCCACCCCAGGAGAAGCCTGCCTTGGTTCCGGACCTGGTCACCATGGTCTGAGTGAGTGTGCATCTGCTGGACTTAAAGCCTAAGGCCTGAGACTTTTGATCTGACACTTGAATTTAGCACACAGATTGAATGTCTGTTATTAGCCTGTCATGATTAAGAGTGTTTGCAGTGCTTAGAACTAATTAATCTAGAATTGTTTGCTGTGAATTGATTATGTCTATTGCAGTGCCTAGCATTAAGGATTGTTGTTTTCTTGATTAAGAGCCTACAGTGTTTCCAATCTCAAAAAAAAAAAAAAAAAAAAGAACCAATAGAGTGAAATTGTATTGAGTGATTTGAGTGAGTGAATAAAGAATTGAAAAGGGCAGAAGCAGTGTGGACATTCTTTATTTCTCCCCTTTGACTGAGTAAGTCACATCTTTTGCCAATCACAACAGATGACTATAAACTTAAGAGCACTCTTCCCTCTGAGGAAAATGACCTTGGTGAGTCATGCTGTTTTGGTGTGATGTCAGCCTAAATGGAGGATTTATGTAAGAACCATCTCTATGCAGTTTACTATAGTTTCCAATAAGAATGCAATTGAAAGCATTGTTCATTAAATCTGGATCCTCATTAGAGTACTTGAGAGTTCTCTATTATTATTTAAGTATAACATTAAATATTAATTAATATTAATATTATTAATTATTATATTAATTTTAATAATAATATCATTTAAGGATAAATAATTGAACTTTGGAGAAATTGATTTGTATTTATCCTATGAACACATGAGTTGTGTAGTTAATGATCAATATTCTCCTCTACAGGCTTTGAATTCAATCTGTGATCCACTTATAACTTTACAGTATGCATTTTTTACTCTATTTTATGTTTTCATCAGTACTGACTCATTATTTCTCAAAATAAACACATATGAAAGAATATTTTTGGAATAAATTTTAGTTTTGATATTTTTAAAAACATCAAAACAATCTCATGGGAAAAATCATCTCAAAACATTTTTAATAGCTCAGTGATGTTCTGGTTTTTGAATTATAAAGTGGAGGCAGGCACAATACAGAATGACTAAATGTCTTCACTGGTACTGTTTTTGACCTTTGTTTTTCTTCTTTCACTGCACTATGCTATCATGCAGTCATTTTTATATCCTTATAAGCTCTTTCATAAATCCTTCCTGATAAAACAGGTAGATTATAAAGAAGTCTTTCAAAAGCAAGTACATTTTTAAAATGAAATTTCAAATAAAAAAAATTTTTTAAATGGTCACACTACCACCACCTTCAAAAGTCTTAACTTGAGCGAACATACAACCATAAGCAAAACCAGAAAACTTCTAGAAAGTAACCTCATTTAAAAGTTTGAGACTTCACATTTAGTATAAGAATCTTATGCTCAAAGGTAGTGGCTCTCTTTTTCTATACTTTCATATTTTAGTAATTGACTCTAGGTGGGAGAAAAGGAGGTTCTGAGTTGGGGAGGTAGCTGGAAGTGTTGTCCAATTTGTTTATCCAATCTAGTCTGTTCCAGAATTGACAGCACAGGGAAAAGAGGAGGCACTACCTATTAAAAAACTGCTCCTTGGCTCAGAGGCAAAAGAGAAAATGCAACTACAAAAGAGGATAATGAAGACAGAAAGATAAGGCAGAAAGAAGTAAAAACCAGGGGAAGGGACAGTAGAAAAGAGAGATAAGAAAGTACAGGAATAGGGTAGCAAATCCCTGAAAATTAAAACTTGAGTTTGACAAAATTTAGAGAATGGATTTACCTAAAGATATATATGTGAGACATTATGTGTATAGTTATAGTTTATATCTACTTACCTCGTCCACTCAAAATCTTCTGCATTGAAGACATTTTTAAGTAGTAGATCCATCACAATATCTCTGCAGTGGACATAAAGAGTAAGAAATGCTCCTAGTGCAGTTTTTGTTCGAGAGGTGTTAGTATTTAACACTACTAGCTCTGCAGCCTCTTCTAGATGACACATCACATTAGAATGGACTTGTTCCAGCTTTTCTTTTGAGTGAGAACTCATAAAACTTTTGATACAATCATTATAGAACATGATATGACTCTGAAAAAAATACATACATTAATCAAAACATACATTTTATGTTAAAACATGAAGGATAAGTTTTCATGAAGTATATGTGGTATGTGTATGTATGAATGCATTTATGTGTGTATAAAAGCAAAAGCTTAAACATTTATATGTATTTGAAAGAGAAAGATTACATTTTTATTGATACTTATGGGGACCTTATTTACTTATACTTTCTAAATTTTATATTCTTGACCCATTGTAATTAACCTGAGGACATTAACAATGGTAGAAATCTCCAAGGTAAAATTAGTGTTGTTTTCTCCATTAAACTAAAAAATAATATTTGTAGAATACATTGCCTATAATTGTAGTTGTCAGGAATATGTATACTTTTTGTTATTTGATGAATCTTTTTGCATTTACTCTTCCCATACACATAAGACCTGTTTTAAGAATGCAACTAGATTAAGGGCAGATTGACTCTGGAAATAAAGGAGGGCAAGATATCAGGAGAGCTTAATAGGGTTGTGGCCTGTACAACTGGGTAAACTGTGATTCCAGTCACTCACTAAGTACCTTCTGGAGAAAGAACATGTGGATGAGGGGCACATAATGAATTTATTTGTGGATATACTGGATTTGAAGTGCCCAAGAAACACATAAATAAAGCTATCAAGTGATAAAGTTATAAATAAGAGAAAAGTTAGCATAGAGGCAACATATCATTGTGAGATTTTTCCAAAGCCAGATAGGAAGATACAGGATAGGAAATGTGGTACATCAGTCAGTATTCTGGGTTGCATGCAACAGAAACTAAGTGACTTTCTAAGAGGATGTAATGGATTCATAATCATCAGATCAACAGAAAGCTAGAGACTGAGGCTTGGGAAGTGAGCAGGAGTAAGAATTTAGGACACACTGTGGGAACTATAGTCAAGGTCATGTCACAGCAGAGTCTGGTCAAATGCCACTGTACTGTTGTCCTTGAAACAGTTATTCAGAATGCACAACCTCAGGTGAGAACATCCATGGTGAGGGAGATTGTGAACCAGATTTTAGATTTGTATTTGTCTGTTTATTTATAGAGGAATGACTTATAACTCTATCTTGGATAAATCCATATTGAAATTCTCTCAGTGGTCAATGCATATAGACATCTCATTATACCCACTCTCTTACAATGTCTTTTTACATTCATTGCAAGACAACTCCTAGTCATGTAACACATGCAAAAGACAAGAGGAAAGGGAGTTGTGAATTGCATTCATGGGATGGGAAATTAGCAGCTGCTAAGCAGACGTGGGAAAAATTTTGGCAATGATTGAATGTACATGCAATGATTAAAGCTGACATCTACCATAAAGGACATCTGGAAATAGAATATAGATGGCTTCTTATTGTTAAGCATGTTTGAAGCATAGGGAGCTGAGAAAAATCTTTTTCAGTAGAGCAGATCTAATGATTTGAATTTCTGTTAAACTGCAAAAATGTGCAGATCAATTCATTGTAATTTTGCCACCTTTGTCATGAACAGTTTAAACAAGTCATTCAGTTTGAGATATAAGAGTTAACATTCAGTCAAATGGATAGCAAAAGGAACAGGAAGATTTGATAATTATAATTTGTGTGTACAATGCCAGATTATCTTAACAAAGACTTGAAAATTATGGTGGGTCAAGGCAAAATAAAAAGATATGATTTATTTATATTTATTTTAATTTAAACATTTGTTTTAATTAGTTATAGATGACAATAGAATGCATTTATATACTTCGATATACATAGATGGGATATAATTTCTCATTTTTTAATTGATCTTTAAAAATATAAATGACAGCGGAATGCATTACAATTCTTATTACACATATGCAGCACAATTTTTCATATCTCTGGTTGTATATAAAACATGTTGACACCAATTCGTGACTTCATACATGTACTTTGGATAATGATGTCCATCACATTCCACCATCCTTGCTAACCCGGGGCTGGAGTTGTAGCTCAGTGGTAGAGCACTTGCCTAGCACATGTGAGGCACTGGGTTTAATCCTCAGCACAACATAAAAATAAATAAAATTAAAAAAAATAATTTCTCATTTTTCTGAGTATATATGTTGTAGAATCATATTGGTCATGCAGACACATATATACATAAAATAATAATGTCTGTTTCATTCTAAGATATGATTTGTTTTCAAGCCAAATAGTCAAGTATGTTTCAAAAATACTTGATAATGGTAACTTGGGGCAATATGGCTTCAGAAGAAACACTCTCTCCAAGTTTCATATTGACCCTGATAATTGACAGATTTAATAGAGTTTTCAGACATCTCCAGAGCCTTTAAAAATTATGAGTAGACACATTTTTTCTAGAGAAAATTAGAGAATCAAGCAAAAATGTGTCTTTCTTCTGTCTAAGCTTCCTTGACAACTCTAAATTTTACTTTTTTTTCCCCCATTAGGCCACTCTTTTTCATAGACTCCCTGTCTTTTGCCTACTCCTTAAATGTTGATGTCCCTTGTGTCTTTTTTTTTAAATTTTTTATTTTTGGTTGTTCAAAACATTACATAGTTCTTGATATATCATATTTCACACTTTGATTCAAGTGGGTTATGAACTCCCATTTTTACCCCGTAACTTTGTGTCTTTCTTTATCGCTCTTATTGTAGACATTCTGCTGGGAAAAATTTTACCACTCTCCAAGTTTCAACCACTACCTCTACCTCTGAAGAAAACTGCCAATTTTAGCTTTGTCGATATCACACTTTCCTAATTTTCCTTCTATTTCTTTTTTGAGTTCCAGAAAAACAATAATTAGCATTAGCAAATATGCAGAGTAGGCAAAATAGTAGATTCCTAAAAGATATCCATGCCTAATCCCCAGAACCTGTGAACATATTACTTTACATGGCAAAAGGAACTTTGAAGATACAATTTAATTAAAAATCTTAAAATGGAGGGATTAATCTGCATTATCCAAGTGGGTCCAAAATAATGACATTTTTTTCCCATCTGTGAGTGGAGGGCAATATAACTATGAAAGAATGGCCAGAAAGATGTAACACTGCTGGTTTTAAAGACAAAGAAAGAAACCATGAGCCAAGGAATGCTAGAGACCTCTAGAAGCCAGAAAAGGAAAAGAAATAAATTTTCCTCAAGAATCTCTCACAAGGAACATATCCCTGCTATCACCTTGATCTTAGTCATCAAATTTTAGTAACTTCTTAATGATAGCAATCAAAAAATAATATAATGCAAAAAATAATTCATGATTTAGTTTCAATGTTATACTTGGAAAATTTTTAAACAATAGAAAAATTGAAGAATTAAACAGTGATACTTATATACCCACCACCTATATTCTATATTCTGTATAACATTTTGTTACATTTACTTTATCACTTATTTATGCATCTGTCCATCTCATATTTAATGCATTTCAAAGTAAGAAACAAATATCAGTAGACTTTTTTTTTTTCCTTTTTGCAATACTGGGGATTGAACCCAGGAACACTCTACCACTGAGTTATATCCCTCCCATTTTTTTAATAGAATCTCATATGTTGCCTATGCTGTCATCAAACTTGCAATCCTTCTGACTTCATTTCCCACATTACTGTGATTACAGGTGAATGCCACTGTGCCCAGCTCAGTAACCTTCTTAATGATTTAGTTTCCAAATATTACTTATTTGGCAATGTAGCATGATCTATATTATATTATATTATATACATATATCAAAGTAATGTTAACTTACCACAATGAGTACCACTTGTCCTGGATGAGATACCACCCACAGGGAAAAAATTTGGTGGGTCCAGTCTTCAACTCCTTGATTCACAAATCTATTAAAAATGTATTTATATTACCTACATTTAATCATTGATCATGGCCATTAAATAATTGAGTGTGGCAAGGCCACAGGAGAATTTTTCTTTAAGATCTCTGATTGTTTTGTTCTAATTTAGGCATTTGTATGGTACCAAATAGAATTAACAGAGCTTTAATCCATGCTTAATGAATATTCCCTAACTTCCTCTTTAACATTAGCTATACTTTTCTAATGAGGTTATTGAATTTCTGGGAATGGTAAAAATATATTAAATCAGAAGAAGATATACTAGCTTTGGATTGCAAATACTATCAATGACAAATATGTATTTAAATGTTTTGTATTTAAAATAATTTCTACAAAATTGAATATTGGGCTGAAACCCTCAGATGAATTTTAACAGTAAAGTCCTGCACTTACTTTAAAATTAATTATAAGGGAGAGGATATAAGTTATAAAAAAATCCAGACAGTTTTATTTAAGATCCAACTTAATATATGCCAACAGCATGTGTTTTGATAGAAACTAGTTGAAAGAATCCTACACACCAGACTACTGAGAAAATATACACATTATAACGGGTAGGAAAAGAGGAGACACATGAACACAAACCCAACTCTGAGCCTAGAATCTTATAATCAGGAAGGAATCTTGAACTTCCACCTTCTTCCTGAGGAGTGAAGGGTTTGTATCATACATATAGCACTCCAACTTTTATGATCCTTGCTGGAGGGTTTGGCTCTTAAATCACTTTGTATCTTAGTCTGTCATTATTGTGACCAAAACACCTGACAAGAACAACTTAGAGGAAGAAAAGTTCATAGTGGGCTCATGATTTCAGAGGTTCAATTCATGATTAACTAACTCCTTTGCTGTGGGGCTTCCATGAGGCAGAACCTAATGGAGGAGGAAAGCTTCATAGCTCATGGCAGCTAGGAGAGAGAGAGAGAGAGAGAGAGAGAGAGAGAGAGAGAGAGAGAGAGAGA